AAGATAGGATCCATACTGTCTTTCATTAAAGAAATCGGACTTGGAGAAATACTCTAACCCGACAAAGGGGCACAATAGATCTTTTAGGTCGCAGTGCACGATCCCTTACTCAATAATAATAATAAGTAAGGCATGCTAGATTATCGAGAAGAAACGTCATGGAAAGTAACTTCAGATTTCTAAGTGTCATGTTATATCTACAAATACTGACTACGTTGATATTTGAATAAAGAAAAGAAGTATATTTGACAATTGAACACATTGAAACAGACCTCTTAATCGAAGTTTTTGTTATTATTATTAAATAATAGGCTATGAATTCACCACGTCCTAAAAGATCTATTGTGCACCTAAAGTTCCAACTAAAACAATTCTAGACTATTTATAAATCTTGTAAACGGTGTGGGCTTAATTTTAGCTATTTGATTTGGGACTATAATCCTGCTTCCAAGGTAATCGAGTCTACGTCTTGCCGCCGCTAGGCAGTTGCATAGAATATGTTCTGATGTTTTCTTCTCCTCATGACAAAGTCGACAGGAGTCACTTTCTACCGCACCTATAATCTACATGTGATAATTAAGTCTACAGTATCCTGTAAGAAGTTCAGTGTAGATTTTAATGTCGTTTCTGCTAAGGCCAAGAATAGCATCAAGTTTGAAGTGTTCAGGATCAATGAGTACTCTTGACTGTCGTATGCCTGTTTGGACTCTCCAGTGTTGTTTCTCCCATTCACATAATAAGTTAATAATAAGTCCCAGACCAACTTTGATCGGAATGAAGATTTTGCTAAAAATTTTAGAGCTGGATTATGGTTAATGGCATAAGAAGAAAAGTTAAACTTTCATAACTCGAACTTCTATACTTGAATTTGCTATAACTTGAACTAAATAGAGTGCAATAGAGTTTAGAGATCAGATTACATACAATTATAGAAAAATTGTTTAGCTCGAAGTGTCTGTAAGTGGAATCTTTCAAAATAAGTTTGACCGTATAATCTTGGTATCATATTATGTCAACAAATACTGAGTGTGGGTATTATTTGGAATATGAACAAAACTATTATTTTGTGCGTTTTCCAATATATGGCAATATGGTTTCAAACTTCTATGCCGAAATTTATATAAATGATTATTAGATTATTGAGAAGAAATTGATTAGTAAAATCTTCATATTTTTTAGTACTATACAATGTCCATAAATTCAGAACACGGGTCATACTTGGACAATGAAATCAAGTATTATTTTTTCACCGGAAAAATGGCATTGAGTTGACAACATCCGATTATCAGGGTTGCCCTTTAATCGTTAATGTCCAACACATGCTTTGCTTTTGCTAGAAATATTTGCAGAAATTAATGAGTTATGATGTCTTAATCATAAACAACGCACATGCATTCGGTGAGGAACTATGAAACTTCGGGTAGAGTATCATTTTAATTTTCTGGTGTTATTGTAAGAAATAAATATTCAGACTTTTCAAGGATGAAATAACTTCTTAGTGTATTCTATTTAAAATATTATACAATCATTATTATAATAGTAATAGACAATACGAAAGGAATTAGGACTCACATAAGCCCAGTTCTAAGCGTGATAGAGGTTTAACTTCTGTACCTTTTCAAACGCATATGGTAAACAAATTGGTACTATTAAAAACTGTAAATATTTTATTAATATTGTATATTTAATTATATAATTAAATATATTATTTAATTATTAGTGTTGTATTATGTATATATAATATATTATTAATTATATAGAACATATTATATATTATTGTATAATATATTATTATACAATATATCAAATATTTTTATATAATATGTGTATATTTTTATTATATTATTATTAATATTTATTAATAGATAATAATTTATAGTTTATTAATTGTTATTAATAGTTAATAGTTGCAGTATACTTCAACTTTATCCTACATCTTTCTTCTAGGTCTTTTGGGCTTAGATGTAAAAGGTCACTAACTGAGTCTCCTGATTTAAGTCTATATGCAACATAGAGAAATAAATTATTTCTTTACAAAGAGAGCAAACATATACTATATCATATGCAATTTTATTTAAATCTTATAATATATATATATATATGACTTTTTACGTCACTCTCCATAAAACAATTCATTTTTAATATAAAATTAATATTTATTTGCAGATGTGAAAATGTTATGACATGTCCCATTAGGCCAATAGGGTCAGGCAATGAACACTGTCCTTATGATTGGCTTGCAGTGTACGATGGTCGTGATGAGCATTCGCCACTTATTGGAAAATTTTGTGGCCTTGGCAAATTTCCATTCAGCATAATTGGTAAGTGAAAAATTTTATAATTTTAAACAGTTTCGCATAATGTGCAATAAAGAATTCTGCCAAAAATTGCTTTGCATGCAGTCAGATAAAACTTAGGGCATTTAATGTTCAGCAATTACCGTCAAATTTCATTGAATTTCAGACAAATTCAATTTCACATATGCCGCATTGTTGCAGTGCGATAATACATGGAACGATGTGTCAAATGCAACAAAGAAATACACACAATAAAAACGCATTGACAGTAACATTTTGCAGTGGCGTTAAAGTCATATACGAGTACACTATCTGATTGCGACTTGCGGCCAGTAAAGGCCAAATATCGAATACTCGAATACTCATACCCATTCACATACGAATACACCATTTTCGTAGTCATAATCACACAGTCACAGTCCTACAGTTTCGAGTTTGCTTGCAGCCAGTGCTATACACAGCCACTTGAATCGTTTATGCTTGAACATCCTGTCGACATGTCACATTTTCAAATTGCATAACAAATGACTTTGTTGGCTCTGAGCGCGCTTAGTGCCGCTGCACATTTGCATTCATATAGGACCTCTATCATACCACTAACACACTACCGCTGTACCACTACCGCAGTCAGTCCACCATCGCTGCCAGTTCATAACTTTAATATGCATACAATGTAGCCATTAAAGGCATCTAAAGCCATACCCCATAATATCCTTTTAATCAAGTCCATCCCGCAGCATATAAGTGCATATGCAATTTAATTTGCATACGTGTTTGGTGTTGTTTTTTTTTTTGTATGTAAAAATTTGTGTAGATGTGCATATGTATGTATACTTTAGTATATATGTGACTTTATTTAATGGAGGTACAATTTAATCTGTTGAAGTGTACATTTGCTGTTTATGTAATTAATATTTATTAAATGTTCTGAAATTGATCAAATTTGTTTGTTGCACACTCCAACATGCGCTGTTCTACTTTATCTACTTTACTCCTCCCGCAACTCACTTATCTCTCTTGTTTATGCTATACACCATATAGGTACCTCACAGTATATGTATGTCGAATTTGTAACATCACCGGCGGGGCCATTGCTAAACACAGGATTTCATTTCAATGTTGGCAACTGGCCAGGACATGTCGAAACGGCAGGCATAAAGCATGGCATTTGCGATTGGCTGCTTAGTTCCGATTCACTTAAGGACAGTAGCGCGAGTGAAGGCATTTTCCTGAGTATTGCCCACTGGTATCCACCGAACACATCATGCAGTTATCACATTAAAGGACGAATAGGCGAAATAGTGCGTTTATATTTTCCAAGGTAAGTTGCAAACATTTGACAAGTAATTTACATAAATGGTTTATGCGTGTGTCTGGTAATTAAATTACTCACCGAAGTTGTGATATTTTTGGAAAACTTTGTTATGACAGTGTAACTAAATAATTTATTATTAATTTCATTTCAAAATTATTATATTATTATTATTATTATATTAATACATACACAAACACATATATATATATAATGCCATATTATTGTCAATGGTTTTCTTGAGTAACCACATCTTGCAGTTTAAAAACACATTTATATAAATGTATACTAGATATATATATATAAAGTATTAGACCATACCTCATTATTCGTATTATGTATAGTCCATTTTAAATTACATAGATTTTCAATAGTACTTATGTGGTTGGTTAGTAACAGAAAAGACTTTCCAGATGATATATGTTTTTGTTTATGTCAGTGAATGGAAGCGTCACTTTTTGGGAATGTTTTGTAGCAAGAAACACAGCACTTTAAATATTTCTATAATACTATAGATCTCATTCCAGTAATAATCCTTTAAAGAATCCAAAGAATGTTTGGAAGAGGTAAAGAGTTGATAAAGAGTTGATATGGCGCAATGTTCCCTTGTGAACGTACTGGAATGGAGAAGAAGAAAAAGAAGAAAGTGTTTATATTATAGTATTTTATAGTGGATGTGATAGTACTTTAACTCTTCGAGAGGACAAGACAGAGAATTTTACCTGGTTAATAGTATCATAGCCTTCCAAACAAAGTAGGCAAAATCTGTTGTCGGCGAGGCTACGACGAAATATGTGTTTGGTGCAAGTATGACAGATGCCCTGCGCTAATGCACATGCGAAATAGGCTACTAGGAATGTGTATTCTTACGGAAGAGGCAATAAAACTCTGTAAAGTAGGTTCTATACTACTTTTTATTGACGTAATAGGGCTTAAAGACCTACTCTAAGTCCAGAATGGGGTACAATAAACCCGACGGTCGCAGTGCCACATCCCCTAACAATAATAATAATTATAACAGATATACCAATTTTCATTTATCCATCTCTGAGCTAAGAAAACATATGTTCAAAAAGCGCTATATCTTTGAAGTTCGATTTTTCCATTAATAATTTTTATTCTGTTATTTTTTTTTTAAGTATTTCGAGTTCTTTAAGTTTATATTTTTTTAATTTAATTTTACTTTATTTTACTAATTTGTTTCAAACAGTTTTATACTATTTTATTTTAGATTTTTTTATTATTCGATTTATATTATTTTTGTCCATTTTACTTTAGTTGTTATTTTATTTTTGTTTTGATTTTATTTTCATTCCTTTTAGTAGATGTTTTCTTCTTTTTCATTTTATTTTCTATTCACATCACTTCAAGAATTTACGGTGCAATTTCTTAATAAAGCAGGATTTAAATCATTCAAAGGAGTGAAATCGTTTAAGACACTTTCCAATTTGCCTCGAGGACATAATAACCTCACAAAATAGTATAAAGGAATTGTGCTTTGATACAATTTAATTTAAGTGCAGGAAAATTTAAGCATTTTTGGAAGTACCGAACACATTTCTGCCTTCTAAGCATTTTAATGAAAATTTTAGCCAAGATTTATGTGACGTTTTAATTTAACCTGTCACTTAGTTGGGTTAAAATGGCGCGTTTTACTCCGGTCTTGGTTGCCTAGTCGCCTGCATTGCGGTCGCAGAGCAAAAGTAGTGCTTGTCTTGCTGGTAATAGTTGTGGTGGTGTTATGGAATTAGTGGAATTCTCCCAGTAAATATTCTCGGGGACGTTCCATATATTTCGTTGTAAATGTTAGTAGTTTTTGGTTGTTGCTAATTTATTGTAGTTACACAATAGTGTGGCAAGACCATTAGAAGTTTCGTGAGTACATGACTCTTTTTGGTACTAATTAAAATGTGTAGTCAAATTTAAAATATCCTGAATGACAGTTCTCTTGTCTGAAAGTGTATAGTAGATGTTTATGTACTTTAAAATGTTACTTAAATTAAATTGTATTTAACGAATTTTCGATACACTCTTATTTTCACTATATATATATAAATAATAATAAATATTACTCACAATTTTGTAAAACAATTAAAATAATACATATTTTAGAAATTAACTTAGTCTTTATTCCCCGAATGGATAAATTTCTTCAAAATAAGTTTGTTATGAAATGGTTAATATAATAACTCAATTCCATTTGAAGTACTTGTGATAATAATAATATAAACATAATTTTAACAATTCTACAATTATTGTTATATATAGAAGCAAGTGAACCATTAGATTTCATTGAATCTTATTTTGGTGTCCAAGCCTCCAGTCACTAGTTGTCCTCAATAGACTGAAGCTTTGAGACTGGAGCTCTGTCGCCATTATAGAACCATGCCCATTTTTGTTGCTGCAAGTTTCACGCTTTCAGTATATTGCTGCCATATCATTCTTACTGCTTAAACCCATATTCAACATCTTAAGTAAGTACAGTAAACTCTCACATCCATTTCCTAAGTGACAATATGTTCTGTGATCTCATCAACACCCTCAGGTACCATCGGCAGTACCAAGACTCACCGTCTTGGCTAGAAATATTATTATTATTTTTATTAATATGTGCCTCATATATGCTTATAACATATATGTATATATATATATATATATTTATATTAACTGTTCCTTCATTACTGTGTATATAATTTTTCACTATCTGTATATACTTTTTGTCTATTATGGAAATATAATAATAGCCTATAGAAATATAATAATAACAATATCAATAGATATTTGAAAAATTGCCGATCATATGTAGATTGTCACTTATTCGTTTCGTTTTGGAACCACCATAGGGTTATCAGAGTGGGGAATGTGTGTTTACTCACTCATAAAGTTTAAGTTATACATTAAATATATCATTTCATTCCATTCTGATAATGCAGAAATGCAACTAGTTTTCTAGATAACAGAAACAAAAAATTTAAAAGCAGAAAATGGTTAGTATATAAAACGAACCTGCCACATATATGATACCTGCCCTAACATACTGCTGTTGGAGAGGTGGACACTTTTCAAAAAGCTATAAAGATGCAGGCGTGGAAGAAACGATTAAGCACCTATTATTAATTGTTCGACACTCTTGAGATTTCTACTTTGATTTCCACCTTTATATATATATTGGCAGATGAGAATTTCTCCATCGACGATACACACAACTATCGACTTTTATAATATGTTATGTTTTTGATAGTTACAGTTCAACGCAATTTTAACAACAACTTTAATTTAGAATATTTCATTTTTGAGATATATTTTATTTTAAATATATCACTTATAATGTATAAAACAAATCGGTTTTTATAAAAGACATATAATATTTTCGAACAATTTAAATCACATCCACTGCTCAATGGCATAAGCCTTTTCTATCCACTTGTTCTAATCATCCTATTATCCGTCCCACTTTTTTTTCATTGTTTCAATTCCAGTGTTTTTAAATCAATCAATATTGAATCGAACCGTCTCTTGTTGAAATTCCCAATTTAATATTAAAGTATTTAAAATTCTTTCAAATATCAGAAATTCTGATATACATAAAGGTCTTTTTATTGAAAGTATAACTGAATTATTTTAGTCAGAAAAATGGATGGTCATACCAATAATTCTTGAGATCCGTTTAAAAGAATTCAAGCAATGTATGGAATATTAGCCAATATCTGTCCTATTATACTTTATGGTTAAAAAAGGGTTTTATAAAAAAATGGATTCAGATTTCGAAATTCTTCGAAGAGACGCACCTAGCGAAAGAAGTAAAGATACTAGTAAAGTTTCTACTTCATTAAAGAACAAGTCATAGGTCTATTCTAAGAGTGGATGAATGACTCTTCTATTTAAATCCGTTTAGTTAGTATTTAACTTAAGTTTGCGGAGGCGGTTAACTTAAGGCATCACACGAGTATGCTTATTACAATAGGTATAGATTGGTTGAGATTATAAAAAATACTTTACTTTCACATATAATTTAATAAAGGACATAAGTAATGTACCTATGATATTATTATTAACACTATAACCTATAATAATAAATTTGCATAAAATACAATGTCTATTCGTTTGCTGTATGATTCTTTATATATTTCTAATATATGAAAACTTTCTCTTGCTCTGTAAAGTCTTGGTAAGAACTCTTTTCCGTAGAGTCAAGAAAAAAATCTTCCGAAGGCAACAAGCTGCTAGTTCACGTCACCCACAAAGTCTCCTCCACTTTATTCCTATTTTCAACATTATTCGAAACATTAGAGAGTACGTGAATTTGGCACTGCGTGACTGTTAAGTTTAAAAGCGTCTAGACACTGTCGACGTTGTTCCGGGCAAAGTTTTGCGTCCAACCAATTTAAATTTATTTTTCTCCTCTTTTTTGAGGTTGCACTTGATATTTATTTGCAACATTTTCCAATTGCTGTCACATTTGTACAGTGCGAAATTGCTACTGCAAGTGCAGATTCCATTCTTTCGCAACGGAGTATCGAAGTTTCGCTTTACAAGCGCTCGCCTTAAAGATTCTTAAGGATTTGGCGGGGCTTTATGGTTAATGCGTGTGCATTTTTCGTTGTGCTCTGGTATTTTATTTTGTATTTCACTTTTCGTTGAAAGCATCTTGCAGCTCAGTTTCAAATTAAAATTGCTGAGTACTATTTTATGTCAAAGTATTGCTGCTGTAAACAGACGCAATACGAAGCAAACAAACCGCAACACAGATACATACCCGTGTCCTCTTCTTTCGAGCTCACCATTCGTTGGAAAATATTCTTGCGATTATTTCAAGTAAAAATTTCTTTTAATTTGTATTAATTAGTGAAACAAATTAAGCTTAATTTGTCTGGATTTAATGTGGTGAAGCTGCATTAAAAAGTAATCTTGAAAATTCTCGAAGTTTCTTTCACTATATTCAATGAACTTAAATTGAATGGAGAAAAGTGAACTAAAATTAAATACAAATTTAATTTTGCGGAAATTTCCATCACTTAAACATATTAATTTTATATATTAATTTAATATATTCTTAAATTCCAATAAAGTCACTAGTAATATGAATTGGTAATGAAATTTCTTAGCTCGGTTTAATTTC